TTCTAGGAGATAAATGAAGAAAAACTTAATTTTACAGTTATAATACATGGTTGCTCTCATGTTTGAGTTTTTCTCCCCTTTCCTGGGTTGTCTCATTTAAGAATTCAGTGTCAAGACATTGTGCTGTTAATACTTGGGGCCAAAACAATTTGGAATCATTCTTTGCTTCTCCCTCTCTCTCCATCCACATCTAAGCCATTAGGAGGTTGTCTCTACCTTCACAGGATACCCAGAAGCTGATCCCTTCTCCCCACACTCACTATGACTGCCCCAGTTGGAGCTACCGTCATCTCTCCTAGACTGACAAAGGCCTTCAAACTTGTCTCCCTCCTTCCCCCTCCATCATGGTCTCCTCTTCACTCAGTAGCCAGGGTGGTCCTTTAAAATTTAAGTTGCCTTATCATATTACTATTCTCCTCAAAACTTTGCAATGATTTCCTAGCACATTTGGAATAACACAGTCCATATTCTGGCCTACAAGGCTCCATATAGCCTGGCCCCTGACAACCCTAATTTCCTCTCCTTCCTGCCTTGACCATCTGTCCCAACCATACTGACTTCTGTGCTTTCCTAGAAAGCACCAAGCTTTCTCCCTCCCTGGGATCTTTGAACATACTCTTCTCTCTGCCTAGAATGCTCCTTGCCCACCTCTTCTTGTGCTCACTCCCTTGTATTATTCAGGGTTCTGAAGACTTCCCTGGTTATGGGACTGAAATGGCTCTCCTTGTCCTTCTTTCTCTTCTTTACTATCTGATGTCATGCTATGAGTTGATGCATTTCTGTGTGTTTACTCCAATAGAAGGTAATCTTTCCAAGGTCAGGGACTTTGTCTTGCTCACTACTGTGCATTTCTATTGTCTGAAAGTGTGCCTGGAACATAGCTGGAGTTCAAGAATTACTTCCTGGAAGAAAGGATGAATGAACGCAGAGTTGAGTAAGTGATTCGCTTACTGTTGGGGCAGGCCTATTTCTTTCTCTACAGAGTCCTGCTTTTTAGCTCCTTCCTGCCTTCAGTCTCTCACACATATCTGTATGTTACCTAAACTGTCCTTGTATGAGTTGTTTCTTCTGTGTGTTCAGTATTTGAGTTATCAGCATTCCCCTTCTCAGAGGTCTAGGGTTCCATGGTAGCTGACAGTGTGCATTCTCACTAATGGTAGGCACGTTGGAGTTGTTTTCACAGGAATGGATGAAGAAGGTTTACCTAACATTCACAATGACCAGGGAGCAATGTGGGGAATTCGATTTCAGGGGCTTGCAAAGGCATTCCTCTTCAAAAAGTTGTCTTCTGCACCAGTTATTGGGAATTTGAATTTTTATAATTAGAGATTCCTTTATTTGCTTATATTTTATCTCTCTTTTTAATTTGCAATTATATCCTGAAAGTGCTTAAATTTGACACTGTGACCACGATCTTCTAATTATAAAATGATTGGCTATAAGATATTCTCAAGGTATATTTGTGTTTGAGTCTGGCTGAAAAATTATTTTGGCAGTGTGAAATATTATTGATCAGTTGTCGCTGACAATATCATTGTCATCAACATAGAATATTTTTTGCTTCAGTCTAGAATGCACTTCCTCAGACCAAGACCAATATATACTTGTCCTCATAATGGCTGAGCAGTTCACTTGTTACCTACCGAACTAGTTTTCTCTATCCCCTGACTGAAGTTTCATGAGTTTGCCATTCATTTACTGGAGGGTCATTTCGTTAAGAAGATGTACTTTAGAATCAGATACACTTGACTTTGAATCCTGCTCTTCTACTTAGTACTTAATTATGCGACCTTGGAAGATTATTTATTCTTTATGCCAATTCTTCCGTCTGTAAAAGGGGGAATAATATTTTCTTCACAGAGTTGTTGGGAGGGTTCAATGAAGTAATGCACCTTAATTTGTTAGTGCAGTGCCTGGCACAGAGTCAACATGCAGAAAACATTGGTTGTTATTATTATTACTTGAGGGATATGTCACGGTACCCTAGTAGCCCAAATAAATTAATGCCTCGTCTATCCTGTTCAGCTGGACCCTTTGATGAAAGCAAATGGATCCTCCACAGTCACATTTATAAGGGACTATGAGGGTTGACAAAGTTCTTTCATTCTGTGGCTGTCTTCTCTACTTGAGGCATTTTCACAATTGATTTCAAAGTGCCGATCCCTCATAGGAGATGGGGCTCTGCCCTTTGGACTCCCTGCGGTTCCCTCCTAAGCAGAAGGACAAAGGGAGGACATGTTGAAAGGCATCGGAGTTGGGAGAGAGAGTGTGGAAAAGGCCTGGTCTTTGACAGGGACTTAGCCATGAAAGAGTGTGTCCCAGGCAGTCAGGAGGCCAAGTTGTCCCAAGGCTGGAGGACTACCTCTGTAACAACTTCTAAAGGAGAAAGCGAGTAACGTTTAGCTGAGCGGACTCCTTTGATTTCTTATTCTGTCAGATCCTAGAGACACTTTCCCAGGTTGATGGAGTTCAGGATGTTCGGTTTTCATGGCTGCCGGGTGATTTGTGACTAAACAGAGATAGCACTTTTGAAAAAAATAAAGAAAATGATTGAGGAAAGACGATGAAAAGACCGGCATTTTTAAAAGGAGTATAGCAGCCCTTTACTGGCATGCTTTCTCCTCTGCCGCTTACTGGCTTGGAATTTTCTCTGAGGTGATAAACAATAGCGATGGTGATAAATGTCTTAGATTTCTTTGGAGAATTTCTTGTTTGCCAGTGAATGGAATTTGGGTGTTTTTGGTCAATGAGCTACCAAAAGGGTTTTTGTTACTTTATATAACACCAGAGTCATTAAACTTTACATTTTTCTCCATAATGACTTCAAAATTCCTCCATTCCTAATTTTTATAGGGTCATGATAAATTTATTGAAAAAGCAATTTTTACAGCATGGCCCATTCCTTTCAAACAAGCAAATGGATTACTATACTTGCTACATTTCTAAACTCTATGTTTCTTTTATGCTATTTGCTGAACTTTGGGTGCCAGAAGTTGCACCATGGCATTCCTGGATCTCTAATATTAGGACTTGATGAAATCCTCATAAGTACAGTCAAGTGTGTGTGTGTGTGTGTGTGTGTGTGTGTGTTTTCTGTGGCAGTAAGGGGCAAAAGGCACATGGAGAAGGACATAGGGAGAAAAGGAATGAACATTTGTTGAACATTTCTTATACGCCAGATTCAACGTTTGGCATTAGGATCCCTATTTCACAGATGGGAAAACAGAACTCCGCCAAAGTCATATGATTAGTAAGTGGCAAGGCCCAGGTCATTTTGGCTCTGATGCATGTTTAGCATCTACACCATGCAATCCCTTTTTTGCCTGTCTTATTGGCTAACTCCATCAGAGGAGGCTTGGAGGCAGTTGCTCTATCGCCCCCTCCTTAATAGCCAGAGAGCTCTTCTTTTAGGGAAACTTTGGAGAATGAGGGTTTGAAATGAGAACTTGGTAACCATACTCCCCAACACACCCCTATCTTGTTGTATTTTGGCCTGGAATACAGAGCTACCTGTGCCCTGAGACTCAGAGACATGAGGGACAAGCCTCCTGCTTGAGTGACCCTAGAGAACAGGGTGAGAACTTTGAGTGAGGAGAAAGGGCATCAGAGCTTCACTTCTGGAAAGAACTGAACTTCTCTTGGTCTCTCATGCCCAGGAATTAGAAACCTATTATTTTCTCTTTCCCCTGGCATAAGCAGGACCTGAACTCGCACTCCAAACTCTTACCCAGCCCACTGACTAATTTTCACTTGGAAAAACACGTGAAAATGAAATAGCAAGGCAGAGGGAGAACAATTGTGTTACAACAAACCCAAAAGCATTGTCCAAATCCTTTTTCTACAATGGGCTTGAGAGGAATGATTCTCAGCTTTCAAGCTTTGTAGAATGATGACATTCATTATGAGAGGGTTTGATCACCATCAGGTCTCTTTGAGATTTGCTTCCTGATTTTGACATCTGTTAGCTGATTTCAGTTTTACTCTAGTTTCTATAAGGCCAGGTAACACATGCTTATTTTTAGTTTATTTTTTTCTTTTAAACAATCACAAAGCTGATAAATTTTGCCTTAAATCTGAAATGGGACAGCAAATACGAGCATGGCCTTAGATTTTGTTTATTGTTCCAGAAGTTAATGGGTCTGTAGGTATTTATGTGAATGCTGTAGGGTTATATTAATGCTATGGACTTAAGGAATGTTGTAATAACCCACAAAAGGAAATTCTGTCTTAAATAATTCTCCAGGTTTTACTGTAGTGTTGTTATGGTTGTTTTGTTTTCTACAAATTGTGTGCAAACTCCATTGTGTTTTCTCCCCTTTAGGGAGAAATAGGCATGTGTGTCTATTAAGATAGTATCTTAACTAGCTATAAACCAGGAGGGCATATCCCTAAGTCAGTTTAAATAACACCATGTCTGCATATGTAAAAAAAGTACTTATCAATTAAATATAGTGGCACGTTAACTCATTTTTAATGTCTATACCCTTATCCCGATGGGGTCAAACAGGTAGAAATACTTTCCTATACCAAGAAAATTGAAAAGTGTGTTATCTCTATTTAAAATAATATATTCACACATTCATACGCTATCCTACTAATTTCAAAAGAAAGGCCATCTTTCACACAAAGTCATCTACAGGTTTGTGAAATGAAGCCCCATGACAAGTTCACCTGCTGTGAATTAGGCTCATTTAGTTTCCAACTCCTTCCTTTAATTCTTTACTCTCTTACAGCTTCAAGGCTGAGACACTTCCACTGTTTATCCATATGTCCTTCCTTCACTCCTCTCATCCTTTGCTATTACCATGATAAGCTGATGTGACTTTTCTCTAGGAAGTAAAAGCAATTTAGTATTCAAAACCAGTAGACTTTTTTATCCATAGGCAAAGATTTACAGCTAGAAAGAGAGATTATTACTTACGTTTGCTATCATGACTTGTATTTTTAGAATTTTACATTTTTCTTGTTTCTTCTTCTTTTAAATAAATTGAAACAAACAGGTATTCCTGGAGGACCTCTGAATGGAAAGAATGCCAAGTCTCTCTCCTCCTGGAGCAGCAGGATCCCCACTGGCATGCCACGGGACCCGTTTGCGGCGGTGGGATCCAGACCCGGGAGGTGTACTGTGCCCAGAGCACGCTAGCATCCACCACACAGAGGGCCAAGGAAGGTAGGCAGCCTGTTCCTGGGTTAGGTGGTGCTGCTGATTGGAAGGGAAATCAACTCCAACACCATCTCCTCGTATTCTTCTTGCTAGAAAGGACTCTCAGCATTCACAAATTTAATATTTATTTTATTGACTATTTGCAAACCATCCCTAAGTTCTGCTACTTGCAGTAATTTGGAGTAGTTAATAATCATAGTAATAATACTAACAGCAGCCTCAAAGGATCATTGCGAAAATTAAATGAGAATATATACCTAAGATCTGTAGCACAAACGAATGCCACAAGCTAAGAGACTGATGTACTGGAGTGAGTCAATTGGTAATGAATTAATAGAATTCTCTGTTTTATCCAAGAGTATTTTTTGAGAATTTGTGAATGTGGGAATTTATACAGACATATCACTTTTAAATGTCAAGGATCCACTATTTTATTGCTACATTTTGAATAATATGAAAAGAAGAAGAAAGAGGAAGAGGTTGAGGCATAACAACTTCCTCCATGGCAGGCTATCTATTAGGCAGGTACAACCTCAGCACTAGTCCATTTGTTTCAGATTTGGGTCAATAATAACATATAGGGACTGAAAAGCTGGCCCGGATTTATTTAAATCAATTGATTGAAAAGCCAGGAGTGGGCAATAATGCTTCCACTTTAGCAGAATGTATGGCGTGTTCCAACCACATTGTAGAACACAGCAGTACTCTCTGCAGATGTGGTGAAGGTGGGGCTGTTTCCTTGAGTGTGCACATAAATTCTCTACTGTAGAATTTGGTTAGGAAGGCAAGATGCAAGCTCTCGTACTATGGAAAGGCATCCACTCTATCCTGTAAAGCTTTTCATACAAGGAGCCTTTTTTTGTGACATGGTCTCTCATCTTTCCAGAGGCGTTTATGACCATAGCTTTGGATGATTCACCTTATGACTCATAGAGGGATAATCTTTATAGACTTCTTAGCATGTGCTTCAATAATTAAAGTTACAGTGCCACATTTCTAGGGTTAGAGTTATTTAAAAAAATAATAGTTAACTTTTCTTTCTTCTCTAATGTCACTTTTGGGAAGTGACAATTTACATACTTTCTGTTCCAGGATAGAACATGAGTATGCTTACTCCTCTGAATTTGGAAGAATAGCATCTAGATAAAAAGCTCCAGATTATTCTTTCGGACCTTGGTGATCTTTCTATTCCACCTTCGTCTTCTTCCCCTTTGCTGTTGTCTACAGTACTAGGGTCTTCAGGAGACAACACATGTATAAGAATTCTGTAGAATTGATATATTATGATCTATCTATTTGTAACTTCAACTTTGAATCTTCTATTAGACATTTTCATCTTCCTAAAGTTTCTTTAGTAAAGATAGCTTTTCTTATGGATCACTTATTTCTAAAGTTTCTTCAATCTTAATCTTTCCAGCTTTCTTAATGGAAACATACTGACCAGGAAGATTGTAATTAGGAAGAAAGTGGAAGGATGGCATTCTAGAGGTGGGAATCATATGCTACATGTGGGTGGGGGGTTAAATAGAGGAAAGGGTTAAATGCAGGTTTAGCAGCCTGTTAAACCCTGGTACAATCTGCTTGCAAGCATCTACAGAGGAGGAAAAAATACTCAGTCAAGGTACCTTCCAAATTAATATGTGGGTTTACACGGAAACAGAAAGTGCTTAGAAAGCCCTAAGCCTGGTAAAAGTCAGTTCTCAGGGAGGGTCTTAGACGTGGGAATGAGATGAAAACACATTGATGAATGACCTGACAATGTACTCTTGTACAAAGTTGAATACAGTGAGTCAAACTGTTGCTGCAAAATACACCTCAGCCACAATTGCTTTAAAGCTCTGGTACGGCTTACAACCTAACTTTGTAATCGTTAACAAAAGTTTTATTTTGCTCTTGTATGAAAGTGAGCCAGAAAGGTTCTTTAGCCATCACTTTACCTTTTTATAAATGCTTTCATCTCCTACTCTTATCACTTATGGACGTAACTTGACAAATCTGGCAATGTGGGAATTTCTTCGTGGCTCAATTTAAAGACAAAAGAACAATTGAATTACTATTGTAAGGGACCGATGAATGTGTTTAAAGAGGCAGAATTTAAGTATTTCTAACCTTTTTAGCTAATGTCCGAATAAAGGCCAAAATTGGTGACATTTTTTACATTTCAGTTTTTGTGAACATCATTTTTTTTTTTTTTGATTATGTTACATTTTGGAGGGAGAAGGAATTTTAATAGCCTTGATTTGGGAAACTCTTCTCAGTCACAGTTGACTCTCCCACAAGGTTAATTTTCCTTCCACTCCAGCATACTGTGTTCACTCTCTGGAGTGGAATTGCTTGACTTTTCTTCCCTACAAAATCCCACCATCCACTATAAATTGGCTGCTCTGTATTCCGAGAATCTAATCTTAGAAGAACCCACAATCTTGGGGAAAAAAACAAGATCCATTTTCATGGATTTCTCATGCAATAAAATACAATAGAATTTCTATATGCCAGAATTTTTTAAAAATTGCAAACTTTCTCCCAAGGGGGCCTTCAAGTCACTTGCCTAGGTTGGATGGTGAGGCTGAATTCTGACTTCAATGCAGTTCTGTTGACAACTTATTCTTGGTGATATCCCATTCCCCGTTTAACCTCAATTCATGGTATTTGTAGGAATAGTATAATAACATCTATGGCATATTTACCTGGTTCCGTTGTTCATTGTGCATGTGGTGTTTTAAGTGCAACCAAAATAAAGCTGTAACAATCAAATATGAGAAGTATTACTAGTAATAATAGCCAAGCCAAGAGAATTGGGAATGAAAATGTAGAGGAGTATTTATGACTTTGTTTCCAAGTTATTGTTGTAGGGAGAATTGTGCTTCTCTTTTATAATTCAGAAGCACCAGCAAAAGGGCTGCTTACCTGTAAATCTAAATCTTGGATTTGGTGAGACCATTTTCTTCTTGCCCTTTTCTCAAATGAAACTAAACCCATTCAGTCTGCATTCAAAGATCATTTCTCAGAAGGGTAAAACATTGAAGTAGGGGCTGCACCTCTAAAATCTAGTAAACACTAGGACAAATTTATTCCATTCATGACAATGTGGTTGGAGACTGGGATATCAACAAATGTGGAGTGAAGTGGCACAGAGATGGAATATATTTATATAGTGAAGAAAAACAAAAACCACATAAAAACTTGGTATGGTTGAAGTTAAGCAGAATACTACCTGGATTTTTTTTTTTCATATCTCAGATTTATTATTTGGCATCAAATGGACATAGCTACTTTAAGAATGGGACACAGTTTAGTTTTGAATTAGTAAATGCATTAGTTGACCCCTCCACTCTAGTAAGATTGAATAGTTCTTAAAGTCCTATGTGTTTAGCATGCTGGGCCCAGAGTTGGCATTAAGGCAGTACATGATCAGATAAGGGAATGTGTCCTGGAATGCTAAGTAGTATATGGAGGCTTAATATGTTTTGAGTCTAACTAGCGTATGAAGACTTAATATGTTTTGGTTCTTGGTTTTAATTCTGACCTGTATCGAGCTTTGATGAGCCACATAAACGTTGTTCCAGTCTCTAGTCCATTAAATTGGTTTTAAACATAATGATTTGGTGAGTAAAAGATGGATGACAATCACATGTTTATTTTTTTAGGGCAGAAGTGGCTTAAACAACAGACGTTTATTTACCACAGTTCTGGAGACTAGGAAGCCCAAGATCGGAGTGCTGGCAGGGTCACTGTTTAGTGACAGTCAGCTTCCTGGTTCGTAGAAGACTGTCTTTTCCTTGTGTCCTCACATGGTGGAAGGGGCATGAGTTTTCTGGGGTCTCTTGAGGTCATACTGGCTTATAACATTGAGTACATTTCAGGTATATGTGATTATATTTCAGTTTCTATGTAGAATGCATCGTGTTCACCAAGAGTCTAGTTTTTTTCTGTCACCATACATATGTGCCCCTTTACTTCTTTCATTATCCCCCAGCCCCTTCCCCTCTGGTAACCACCAATCTGTTCTCCTTATCTAAGTGTATGCTTGTTTGTTTGTCTTCCACGTATGAGTGAAATCATACGGTATATGTCCTTCTCTGACTTACTTCACTTAGCATAATACCCTCAAGATCTGTCCATGTTGTCACAAATGGCATGATTTTGTCTTTTTTATGTCTGAGCAGTAGTCCATTTTATGGTTTTATATATATATATGTGTATATATATGTATACACACACCACATCTTCTTTATTTTTTTTATTTTATTTTTTTTTTTCCTTTTTCTCCCCAAAGCCCCCCGGTATATAGTTTTGTATTCTTCGTTGTGGGTTCTTCTAGTTGTGGCATGTGGGACGCTGCCTCAGCGTGGTCTGACGAGCAGTGCCATGTCCGCGCCCAGGATTCGAACCAACGAAACACCGGGCCGCCTGCAGCGGAGCGCGCGAACTTAACCACTCGGCCACGGGGCCAGCCCCGACATCTTCTTTATCAGTTATCTTCTTTATCAGTTAATCTGTTCATGGGCACTTGAGTTGCTTCCACGTCTTCGCTATTGTGAATAAAACTGTGATGAACATAGAGGTACACATATCTTTTTGAATTATTGATTGTATATTCTTTGGATAAATACCCAATAGCATTTTTTTTCAAAAGTAATTTATGTCCAGCTATGTTTTTGGCTATGTACCAGACACTGAAATTATAAAGGTGCCTCATTAATTTAGCCTTTTAATTGGAACAACAGTTGTACTAACAATTATGCTATAGTGTCTTAAGTAATGTGATCATTATATATATATATACATACATAACATAGTTAAAACGACTTGATGCCTGAGGGTCATCTTCATAAAGGAAGTATTGCTTAAAGAGAGTTTGGAGGATCATTAGGAAAGAATGTTCTAGGGGGTACAAAGAAGACATATGAAAAGGAATGGAGATGTTTATGTTCAGTGGTGGCAGGTGACCTTGTGTGAGGGGAGCACAGGGAATAATGAAGTTACAATGACATTGGAGAGCTAGG